GGACACGTATCCCAAACTTTGTTCCCAAATTTGAAAAACAATGGAAGAACTAGTGATGATGTGAAGAATTTAAATGATGAGGTAAATGAGAAGACGATTACAATTTTTATTTTTCTTAATTAGGTGAACTTTTGTGATTGTTGAGATAATACATGTGAGAATGGAATCTGTATAGACCAGTAGCAATTTACAATTAGATGAAATACAATCTGATGTTGAATAAAATGCCCTTAACCATGCCCCAGCAACAAGGAGAAAATTTATTTTCAGAATAGAGATAATAGAATTGCAAATGAGGAATCTGGTACTGCTTTTGTTGCTTGCAGCACACAAGAAAACGTCCCCTCTCTTGACAAAGCACCGTCACTGTTTAAACAAAGTGAATCCCCACATCCCTGTCCCATTTACAGCCCTGCCTACCCTTTGCTACAAGCATAACCCCTGCGACTGAATGGGTGGGAGTAGAATTGGCCCTGAGACATGGGGGTGGAAGTTGCAATTTTATCCTAACTTGGGATGGGGAAACCCACAGGAGTATGTGCAACTTTGACTTTAAACCAGCCAATATTTCTGTTTGACATCAGTGGAGATTAAAATGGGGAGGTGGGTCTAGGCCCGAAACGTCAGCTCTCCTGTTCCTCTGATGCTGCTTGGCCTGCTGTGTTCATCCAGCTCTACACCTTGTTATCTCAGGTATAAAATCAAGTTTTTTTGTCAGTTTGCCGAGTGCTGGAATGAATTAACATTGCTTCCATTAAATTGGTTCTAAAACCGGCATTGCACTGGATTTCTTGGTTTTCTGACAAACAGAGTAGGTTAAAATTCTCTCATTATAACAATATACTTACTTACCAACTTTTTTTCTTTTGCTCTTATGCATAAAGAACAGACTCGTGTGGATCATGAAGCTAACTCCACAGTGCAAAATGATGTTTTGGCTGAGATCCACTCACCCACTGCTGATATTACAATCAATTCGGGGATCGACCAAAGTTTCTTTCTAATTTCACGATTCATGTATTTACCAAGTATCATCTGCTGGTTTGTGTTGTCATTGTAATAATTCAGGAATCCTGACTGGAAAGGTACATCATTTGTTGTTGAATATCAAAGTAGAGCCACTATTTGTGGCATACATTGGCCAGTACCAGTCCAGGACAGACGGTTCTGCAAAACCCATCCCTCGGTCTGCTTTATAAAGGGCTCAGGTGATGAGTTCCAGCTGAATAGGGCATTGTCTGTTAGAAAGGGAGCTCATACTCAAAAATGCTCCACAGGGAGAGTAATTTGTGATTCCCCATGGCCCTTAAAGTCGTTATCACAATAATATTACATTTTTATATTTTAATCATCATTTCCACAGTCTAAACTTGTGGTAAATGTATTATGGGAAGTTATTTTTGTTTCCATCATTTTCTTTGAACAGTGAGTGTACCCTTTCCTTCATTTCACAATTCAATTGATTTTGATTTATTTCAAAAAGTTTTATGACAGAAAACTATGTTTTGGAAGGTCGGGAGGATATCTTGTGGCCATTGCTCATTTTATCGGTTGAATTACTTCCACCAAAATGTGTCCTTTTTCAATTTGCTGCTTTTCCATTTTCACTGTGAAACTGTTTAATCTTTCGATTTGATGTATAATATTCTGTTAATGTGAATAATGGCAGACGTGTAGAACCTGTGCCAGGCTGAGCTTTTGGCTTCTTCACAGCTTATTGTGTGTAGCAAGCAGAATGACATTCCATTAAGGTTTTCTATTGAATCCAATTTCTGCCCATTGTCACGTACTAGTATTAATCTCTGTGCAATTTTAGTGCAGGGCTGAGTGTGTTATCAATAACACTTCTTAATAAAGAGTCTGAGATGCTATTGAAACTGCTATCTCTATAATTCAGGAGACAGGTGATGCTGATATGGAGCCATTATATTTGAACATGAGATGACCTTAATTTAAATGTACAAATGGATATTGCAATTCAGCAAGCATAACCATGAACTGGATCATGCCTGTATAGGGTATCGGCTGATCTGAAGGGAGGTATTTTATTAGACAGTATCAGAGCTGAGATGGGAAAGGACTGGTTGACAAAGTGATTTCAGAACCGGCATCTCACCTCTGAGACCCGGGTCCAAACACAGCCGGACAGATGGGATGAATGACCCTTTTTTTGACAGCTGGCCTTGAGAGACTGATGTAACACAAGTGAGTGCAGTGTCAATCTGTGGGCATCTGCTTAGCATGTAAAACTGCCCTGAGATCTGGCACAAATCGGCAGCCCGTATTAATAGAGTGGCTGGTTTTGGGACAGAAAAACGATCTTTTACTGGCATATTATTTACGCAGTTCTGCAAATTGAAAGATCTTGGGCAGCGTGCCTACAGTTTTTCAGTCATGTTCATAATTAGCTGCAAATATTAATTGATAAAGGCAAGTCCTACTGTGTTTGAAACCCATATAAAACCCGTGCATCCATGATTTACAAGCATAATGCAAAAAAATTGACTCACATATGCAATAATGTGGTTTGAGAATCTGGCTACATCAATAACCTGATACCCTTCTACATATCACTTTACCGAGTAAATACCTCTCAGTAATCTTTTTACCTTGCACAGGGCAGTAAGAGATTTATGCTAGTTATCTCTTATCTGATCTAATGTCTCCATAAATTCGATGGAATTCGTTTGTATTATGGTGAGTGATGTGAGTTCCAGATTGAATCAAACAAATTAATGGATTCCCAAACTACATTATTGCATTTTTCAGTCCATTCTTATTGCATTATGCGTGTAAATCATGGATGTGTGGGTTCTATAAGCGTTTTGAAACACAATAGAACTTGTCTTTATGAGTTGATATCTCCAGCTTGTTATGAATATGACTGGATTAATTTGTGAATGAATAACATGCCTCAGAGGAGGAAATCCAGTGACCTCCTTCAAGGGCTGTTTGTGTTGTGGTGAGAGACACACAATCTGTAATAGAAAAGGAAAACTTTAGTAAAATAGATCTGAGTGGCTGCCAGTGATTTAGTGTGGTGGTTCCCTCACAGGAAAGAAGTGCAAGCTTTGTGGAGGCTGTCATTAAAATCCACCCTCTGTGCTTTACGGATTTTTGGTAAAGCAACATCAGCCCTGTATTTTGAAGTCTGTACTTTATAGCCAAGTGTGTCATTAGAACAGTGACTGGACTTCAAATAGGACTTCATTGGTTGGAAAGTGCTTTGAGGCATCTAGTGGTTATGAAAGACACTATGTAAATGCAATTTCCAGTGGTCATAGGAGTTGGTGATGTGGATGAATTTTGTTTAACCAGCTTGTAGCTGCATTCAAATAAGGTCAAGACATGTAAGGGACCTACTCCGGTAAATAGAAACTGTATGCATTACAATACATTTCTTTCCAATTTTCAGGCTATTCTGTATTTTTCTCTTTCAGAGAAGTCAAAAATGACCTCTATAGTAACAATGGAAATGATGAAAATCGTTAGATTATTTAGAAGAGAGTTGACTGTTGTAATGGGCAAATTATCAGCATTCCTCCTGATTGGATTGATTAAACGGTCTCCCTCAATCATCTCTTTCTTGTCATTGTGCTTGTTCTTAAAAAAACATCAAGACATTGCTGACAGTCAATGTATAAATCTTGCATAACTGCAATCTGCAACCTGCATTGGGAACTATTGTTCAAATTAGTTGCTATTTATCATTAGCACAAGCAATGGTTGAGATAAACAGAAGAAATACATTTAACAGGAAGCTAGATATATACAAGAGGGAGAAAAGAATTGAAGGGTATGCTGATTGAAGTAATTTGAGAGGTGATGTGTTTGGAACATGAACACCCAGCATGGAGCAGTTGGGCTGAATGGCCTGTTTCCATGCTGTACGATCTATGTAATCCTATGTATCATTCTCAACTTGTTAAAACAAACTTTTTCTGTGAAATATGACCTGGGATTACAGGACTGACATTTGGAGAGAGACTGGATCAGTTAGGAGGACTACATTTAAAGTTTTTTTTGAGGAGTACATTCATTGGAGCTTGGAAGAGTGAGGGAAGATATTATAGAAACCTAAAACATTCTAATGGGACTAGACAGGATAAACAGGATGTTCCAATATCCTAGGGAGGCAGAACTAGGGCTCACATTTTTAGAATACAGGGTAGACCATTTAGGATCGAGATGAGAAGAAAATTCTTCACCCAGCGAGTGGAGGGCCTATAGAATTCTCCGCCACAGAAAGTGGTTAAGGCCAAAACCTTGAATGTTTTTGAGGAGTTAGAGATAGTTCTTAGAGCTAAAGGGATCAATGGATATGGGGAGAAAGTAGGAACAAGGGACTGAGTTGATTGATCAGCCATGATCATGTTGTACAGCAGAGCAAGCTCAAAGGAATGAATGCCTTACTCATCCTATTTTCTATGTTTCTCTAATATGGTTGGACAATGTAAATATTTTGATTTGGACGGCACGGTGACCCTGCTGCCTCACAGCGCCAGGGACCTGGGTATAATTCCAGCCTCAGGCAACTGTCTGTATGGAGTCCAAAGATGTGTGGGTTAGGTGAATTGGCCATGCTAAATTTCTCCATAGTGCCCAGGGGTGTGCAGCCTAGGTGGGCTAGCCATGGGGAATGCAGGGATAAGGTAGTGGGGTGGGTCTTTGCAAGGGGTAGTGTGGACTCGATGGGCTGAATGCTTCCACACTGTAGGGATTCTGTGATTCCAGCAGCTGCACTTCATTCCCAGGTTATCTTCAGAGCTAAAGAAACCAACCTGAAGAATTGAAAAGCAGGAATCATAAGGCATGGATATCTGTACATTCCTAATATTGAACATCTTACCATGCAGTTTCAGTACATATTTGCCCAGGAGTGAATTGGGATGTTTGCATACTTTAACTTTTTGCCACTAACCTTCATGGGGTGGATGGTGGAATGACAAGGTTACTTTTGGATTTTAAGTGATGTCCTGTGTTTTTATTCCCAATTCCAGATCGCTGTGGAAACTGCCAGTTTGGTGCCATTTGCGAGGCAGAAACAGGAAAGTGCCTTTGCCCCACAGAATGTGTAAGCTCCGAGCAGCTGGTGTGTGGCACAGACGGCAACACATACAATAATGAATGCGAGCTACACGTTCAGTCCTGCATCAAACAAAGGGATATACAAGTTGCAGCCCAGGGAGAGTGCAGTAAGTCTTTTGGCATTGCCTTTTATAGAGAGTACCCTCAGAGGGAGTCATATGTCTGCAATCCTAACTTGAGGTTCAGCCCTGGTATTGGAGTAGTTCCCATGGATTACAGTGATCCCATGGCAGGACTTAAAGATGATCTCTCCTAGTGTGTGGAAAAAAATCCCTCCCTAAATCAGTAGTTACCACAAAGCATGTTTCACTGTCCAGTTGGAAAGTTGCCTGTTCAGAATTCTGGTTGTGTTTATGTACATTATTTTCGCTACTATCCAAAAACAATTCACCACATGGAGTGCTTTAAGACATTTCAATATAAGGCACTATGTATTTGCAAGTGATTTTATTATTAACGATGACTGAGGTTTTTGAGTGGTGTCTAAGTAAAGACCCTTGAGTTCCTTCTGATATTGGTTTTGTTTGTCATAACGTTCTCACCTTTCAATGGTGCCATACGTTGAGCTATGTTTCAGTTTAACGGCTGACAAAGCACGTTAGGTTCTTGATGCATTGGCAAAGTCACCAAAAGGTTTAGAGAGATAAACGTTATTCAGTTATTATTGAAGTTTGAATTGAGCTTGTTTTGATGAAAGATATATTTAAGTGAGGTAGACGTGCCATTAATTCTTTAAATGTATTTAGTTTGTTAGGTAGTAAGTAACCAAACAACGTTACACACTTTCTTGGCCCTTAGTGATCCCCTCACATGAGCTTCGCAGGTTTTGCTGCCTAGAGTCCAGGCAGATTTTGTCCCTGCAGTTACTCATTGGAGCCTCATTGTCACATAAACTTCAGTCAGAGCTGACCAGTGGTTCTATCATGAAATAAACACTTACATTTGTATAAGCAACTTTTATGACCCCAGGATGTATTAATGCATCTTAAAGCTGGTAAAGTCCTTTTTAAAGTTTAGTCACTGTTGTGATGTAAGAGATATTGCATCCAATTTGCACAGAGCAAGTTCCCACCAATAACAATGTGACAATGGCTTAATGATCTTTGTTGCAACATTGATCAAGGGTAAATATTGGCCAGGATACCAGGGATAACATTCTCCTCTTTGAAACAACACCATGGGAATCTTCTCTAAGCCCCAGAGAGGCAGATTAAGCCTCAGTTTAATGTTTCATTCAAAACCTGAAACAATGGACCAAGTCAAAGAGCAATGCAGTGATGTGTAATTTTAATATTGAGACTCAGATTTTCTGTTTTCAATTGGATGAAAGCAAGTGTTTTTGTCACATTCTTTTTGGTGGAGAGTATTCCCTTTTTAAACACATCTCCGGATGGAACCTGTGTGGGAACTGCAAAGTGTCCACCCTATCGTCTGTTTTCACATTTCAGCACCAAATCAGAAACCAGCCGTTTAAATGTGAATTGAAATGTATCTGTTTCTGATCATGTTCCTCCTCAACTGAGCAATTGAATGAACATACCCTGTACAATGGTCTGTAACCTTCCTTAAAGATTGGATAAGCTGACTGTAGATGTAAGCATTGCTTTAACATGCATTGAATATGGTTTATTTAGGCATTTGCATCCCACCTCCCAGACAGGTTATTCCAATTATTGTAGTCTCTGTAGCTTATGGCACTGAAAGATTGTCAGTAATCGGTCAGATTGGTCATTTTTTGCTTTATTCATTCATGGGATGTGGGCATTGCTGTCTAGGTCGGCATTTATTGTTCATCGTCTAACATCATCAACCATGTTGCTCTGGGTCTGGAGTCACATGTAGGTCAGACCAGGTAGGGGCGACAGATTTCCTTCCCTAAAGGGCATTAGTAAACCAGATGGACTTTTTAAAAAATGACAATATTTACCCCATTAGGCTAGCTTTTAATTCCAGACTTTTTAAAAAATAATCAAAATTTACCACCTGACACGTTGACATGCAAACCCATGTCCTCAGAACAACATCCTTGGGTTCTGGAATCCGAGTGCAGAGACATGAAAACTACATCCTCCTGAAAGTAGGTGGGAGTATAACTCTTAACTATGAGAGAAGAAGGAAGGCGTTCAGTCAAGGTCAGGAAAGACACAGTTTTCCATCTTATACTTGCGGGTGTGAGTTCACTATTGCCTGTTATGGCTTGAGCTCTGTGCTGACAGAATACTGACTCCTAAATCCAGTTGGGGAAGTTGGCATCATCTGTGGCATACGTGACACCTCCCATCTTGTCAAAAAATCACGCCAGTGGTAGCTCTGGAGGGATCTGTGGCCAGGCCATTGCTCCTTCACCGCTAACATTGAGGGAAGTCACACAAAGGCTCTGGGTGAGAGTTCCTATAAAAAGTAATAGAGTGTGAAGGAAAAATCTGATAAATCTGAGAGGCACAGATGGTTATGATTTCATATTTTTAATCCTTTCCTCCCCTCCCACTCCAACAGTAATGCAAATGGCTTGGCTCTGTGGTTTTATGAAGATTGTGCTCATTCCAACACCATGTAGAAGTTGAGACGTATAATCTCTGTCAGGCACTTGCTTTGTAAATGGTGGTCAGGCTGATTTAACCCCCTAATTATTTCTCCATTGTTGTCAGTTGTGACTAACCACAAACATGGTACAAGTGAGTTGCAGAGGCTCCTTAAAGAGAGCAGCTGGATATATATATGTGTCGATCTAAAAGCTCTTGATGAGAATGATGGATTGTCTGTGGTTAACAAAGTCGTTCAAGGAAATACATTAGCAGAAGGGGAGGCGATGGCCTAATGGTATTATCACCACACTATTAATCCAGAAACCCAGATAATGTTCTAGGGCCCCAGGTTCCTCTGTGGGACCATGGCAGATGGTGGAATTTGAATTCAACAGAATAAATATCCTGTGTGGACTTCTAACCTGTTTGTCTTCTGAAAATTTAACTGATTTCGTTACCGTTGGAGGAAGGTCTCTAGGCACGATGCAGAAAGGTTTCTTAACGTTGTGCTATTCCTACGGGCTCACCTTCTCACTGTTCGATTTCGCAGAGCAATGCGGCTCCAACATCTGTTTGTTTGGAGCAAAGTGCGTCGGTGGCCAATGTGTCTGTCCTCGGTGTGAAAACCAACCCATTTCCTCAGTCTGTGGGAGCGATGGGGTCACGTACATGCACCTGTGTGATCTACAATCTGCCTCCTGCCAGCAGAAAAAGATAATCGAGGTTGTGGAAGAGGGTTCTTGTGATGATGGTATGTATCCGTTGTAAACTTGTGCAACATACTTGGCTAGTGAGGGGTGCTGCCCTACAGTTCTGAAGCTGTGTCCATTAATGGAACAAGCTTGGCACTGCCTTCTCATCAAATTGTCAACTACTTATCAGGAAAATTCAATAGATGAAACAAGCAAAGGTTATTGTCCATCAAGCAGGATCAATACATAGCCAAAATATTCCTGAGAGTGTGCTTCATCTGTTCAACTTCCAGAGACTGAAAGACTGTTAAGACTTTCTGATTCCTCCAAAGTTGAATGCATGGAGCTCCATCTTTAATGGCTCCACTATTTCTGATCTGCCCAGTTTAGAACTTAGAGAATCAATCATCCACAAGCCCACAACACATTTTGCGAGTGAAAAGTCACCGAGTTGTAATTTTATCTCTGTTTCCTTTTCAATAGATTTTGCCTGGTTTGCTGAGTTTTATTTCAGTGTTTTCTGATTATATTTAATGATTTCTAACTTTTCTGACATTATCCAGTTATCTGACAATCAGATTTTGCTATAATTGGGATTGTCGAGCAACCTTTGGTACTTCAAAATACCCTGTTGTTAGCTTCTTTTCTGCCTGTCTCTCTCACTCTGCCAATGCAGCTCAAGGCCCTGGATCATAGAATCCCTACAGTGTGGAAACAGGCCCTTCAGCCCAACAAGCCCACACCGACCCTCAGAGCATCCCACCCAGACCCATCCCCCTAAACTCCACTTAATCTACACATGCCTGAACGCTATGGGCAATGTAGCATGGCCAATCCACCTAGTGTGCACATCTTTGGACTGTGGGAGGAAACTGGAGCACCCAGAGGAAACCCACGCTGACACGGGGAGAATGTGCAAACTCCACACAGACAGTCACCTGAGGGTGGAATCGAACCCAGGGCCCTGGTGCTGTGAGGCTGCAGTGCTAACTACCGAGTCACCGTGCTGCCCTGAGGGTAACCATGAAGAAGATGAGATATTGGGCTTGTGCGATTGAATTAGGCCAGAAAGTTCCCCTTTTTTAAACGATATGATCAGATTATGAGTGTTTTGATTTGTGGACAAAAACAAGTGGGGACAAGTCGTAGTATGAAGAGGAAGAAAAAGGTCGTCAACAATATTTAATGGAGGGATCTCATCTACAAGATGGAGAGCCAGTGGTACCCCTGCAAAGACAATTTTTTTCTGAGGAAATCCGGTATATTCCATCAGGCACTTGACTAGACAGATGTTGGTCTTCCTCAAGATGAAGGACACTATAGACAGAAACCTCAGCTTGCCTTTGCTCAACAGCAACTCCAGGGAAGTGATGGCTGCTACAAGTACCCATCCAAGGCTGAGCATCACAGGGATGCAGACACAGGTGAATAATGGCAAGAGATGTTAGTGAAAGAGGGCGACTGCCAGGGCACTCCCCTGCATGATTGCCAGGTTCCTCAATCAGGCAAGAGTACCCTACAGCGTTGTGCTTTTTATGCCTCCCACTTGGCGGATTCCATGCAGGGACCGGAAGAGGCCCTTAAGGGAACATTAAACACCCACTTTGGGGCCTCAGTAGGTGCCAGTTCAGGAAAGCTGTCCCAAGCCCTCTTGCCATGCATTTAATTGGGGCAGTGAGAGGGAGGCAGAGGGAACTCCAGCTGCCACCCTCCCACCTGATTAAATGTCGCCCCTCACCGACGCCAAACTTGCCTTAGGGCTGGGGCATTAAATTTCACTCGTGATTGGTTTTCAATTCTCAGAGGATAGCGTGTGCTGTTCACTTTCTCCACTGCTCCGCTGCAGGTTTATTCTAACACCTATCGTATAAGCAGACTCTGGTGTGCTATGATACTCGAGCACTTTGTTTCTGGAGCAGGCTTTCATAGGAAACAACTATCAAATTCTTCAGTGCAGCTGCTCCGCGCTATTGTTAAATTTACTTGTGTAGGTCGTGCATTGACTGTCTGCATCTAAGCAGTGGAAAATCATCCCTTGTGGGAAACACTTCACAAAGCGATTGGGAGCCAGTTCTCTGCCAAGTGCATTGTCCTTGACAATGTGATAGACTCATCAGGCCACCGAAGCCAAGTTCCAGACAGTGCAAATTATGGCTGGAGTGATGAAGACAGGTTTATTAGTGTTCCCATTCTGCTAAAAGGTCCTCATTAAGTCGCAAGACGTTACTCATCACAATACAAGTTTGAATGGTGCAGTTGATTAAATGCATCTACATACAAAATTATTCGTTTTCCTCCAACCCACCCCCTTCCGTCGAAAACTTGTCAAGGGTAGGAAGGGCTGTTTGCAGATTAAAGTTCAGCTTTTTACCTCACGTCCCAAATACTGCCAGACCAGCTCCATAGGGAATTGGTGAAGTGTAGTGTTACTTCCAATTGGTTTTGTGATGGGAAGCCTCCTCCCCACCCTAATGAAACTTTCCCAATGCAGGGAGAGGCAGTTCATCAACTGCTCTGGAAAAAGGTCAGGATGATTTTGCTTAAAGTCATGGAATCATAGAGATGTACAGCACGGAAAGAAACCCTTTGGTCCAACTCTCCCATGCCAACCAGATATCCTAAATTAATCTGCTCCTATTTGCCAGCATTTGGCCCATATCCCTCGAAACCCTTCCTATTCATGTACCCATCCAGATGCCTTTTAAATGTTGTAATTGTACCAGCCTCCAACACTTCCTCTGGCAGCTCATTCCATACATGCACAACCCTCTCCGTCCCTTTTAAATGTTTCCTCTTACGCCTTAAACCTATACTGTCTAGTTTTGGACTCCCCTGCCATGCGGAAAAGACCTTGACTATTCACCCTATCCATGCCCCTCATAATTTTATAAACTTCTATAAGATCACCCCACGGTCTCCGATGCTCCAGGAATAATAGCCCCAGTCTATTCAGCCTCTCCCTAGAACTCAGGCCCTCCGAGCCTTGACAACATCCTTGTAAATCTTTTCTGAATCCTTTCAAGTTTAAAACAACATCTTCCCTATAGCAGGGAGACCAGAATTGAATACAGTATTCCTCCTGCTAATCAACTCAGTATTCAGTCCTGAGCTCAAAGATTCTGTCACTATCCATGCCGACAGTCCCGTATTTGGAGATATTTAATGAGATTCATTGCAGTTCAAGTGGAAAGTTGTTCACAGTGAGTTTCTACCCAGGTGTTAATGGACAGAGTAGAGTAAAGCATGTCGTACACAGATCTTCTGATGCAGTGCTCACGCAGATAGATAACCCACTTCTTTTCATTTCAAATTTCCTAGTTCACTACCCTTGTCATGTCATATAATCTCCTTTGATTCGAAGGTTCAGGAAACAATAAGCAAGCCTGTGATTTACGTGATGCTGTGGAATTTTCACCCTTGGCATTTGAGAAGGAACAGCTTTGTCAACCAACCTTTAAATGATTACTCTGAATGCTTCATAGACTGATTCCACACTGGCTCCTCAAACCTCTTCAACATTAGGCATCAAAAGCAAACTATAGTGAGGTATCAAAAAAAGCAAGATACAACTAGAAAGATTAGATTTAAACACAAATGTGAGCAATTGATCTTTGCTCATGTGTTGGGAATGATAGAAAGGGTAGAAGTTTGATGGTAACTGCTCCCTAAATACTGTTCCTGAGATATTCAGAGATGTACAGGATGACTTAAAGTATCTTTAATGTAATATAGAGGAAACGGTAAGTTATCCAATACCTAGTGATCCATATGAGATTGATTGTTCCATTATGGTAGGAAATACAAATGTTTGCAACACAAAGACCTGGTTCGTTGTGAATGATGTACAATGACTGGTCTAAATTTGGGATGCAAAGTCCCTTTTTTTTAAACAAAGTGTGTTCATTTTAAATTAACAAGTCATTTGCAAGAATGATTAAACATAGCCTTAGAAAACAAGTTGCTAATTCTAAAGGTGGCTGAAAGCCTAGTGGTGCAATAAACCTTTGGCAAAGGTGAAGACATTTTAATGATGCATCTCCTGTGTTCACTTATTTTGGTCAGAGCTCTTCAGAGGGGAAAGGTTTGAACTATGGAAGGAATTGAACTTGAGGACAGGAAGTGACAAGACAATAAGACACGGGAGCAGAAGTAGGCCATTCAGCCCATCGAGCCTGCTCCCCCATTCAATGAGGTTATGATTGATTTGATAATCCTCAACTCCACTTTCCTGCCTTTTTCCCACAACCCTGATTCCCTTACTGATTAAAAATCTATTTATTTCATGATTGATTGAATATACTTAATGGACAAGCCTCCACAGCCCTCTTTGGTAAAAAAATTCCACAGATTCACTATCCTCTGAGAGAAAAATTCCTCCTCATCACTGTTTTAAATATGCAACCTTTTATTCTAAGATCATGTCCTCTGGTCCTAGACTCTCCCACAAAGGAAAACAACCTTTCTGCATCAACCGTGTCAAGTTCCCTGAGAATCTTGTATGTTTCAGTAAAGTCGGCTTGCAATCATATATATTCCAATAAGCACAGGCCCAATCTACACAACCTCCTCCTCATAAGAGACAGTCCCACCATACTTGGTTTGAGCCTAGTGAACCTTCTCTAGACTCCAATGCCAGTAATATGCCAAAGATATACAATCTTTCCTTAGATAAAAGGCCCAAAATCATTCACAGTATTCCAGCTGTAGTCTGACCAGTGCCATGATTAGTTTTAGCAAAACCAGCCTACTCCTCTATTCCCAATTCCTTTGCCTCCGCCGCATCTGCTCCCAGGATGAGACATTCCACTCCCGTACATCTCAGATATTCTCGTTTTTCAAGGACTGCAACTTCCCCCACCTCAGTGGTTGAGAATGCCCTCGACCGTGTCTCCCGCATTTCCCGCAACTCATCCCTAACACCCCGTCCCCGCAATAACAACCAAAATAGAATCCCCCTCGTCCTCACGTACCACCCCACCAACCTCCGGATCCAACGCATCATCCTCCGACACTTCCGCCATCTGCAAGCCGACCCCACCACCAAAGATATTTTTCCCGCCCCACCCTTATCTGCTTTCTGGAGGGACCGCTGTCTCCGTGACTCCCTTGTCCGCTCCACATTCCCCTCCAGCCCCACCACACCCGGCACTTTTCCCTGCAACCGCAGGAAGTGCTACACCTGCCCCTACACCTCCACCCTCACTCCCATCCCAGGCCCCAAGAAGACTTTCCACATCAAGCAGATGTTCACCTGCACATCTGCTAATGTGGTATACTGCATCCACTGTTCCCGTTGTGGCCTCTTGTACATCGGGGAAACCAAGCAGAGGCTTGGGGACCACTTTGCAGAACACCTACGCTCGGTTTGCACTAAACAACTGCACCTCCCAGTCGCGAACCATTTCAACTCCCCCTCCTATTCCTCAGACGACATGTCCATCCTGGGCCTCCTGCAGTGCCACAACGATGCTACCCGAAGGTTGCAGGAACAGCAACTCATATTCCGCTTGGGAACCCTGCAGCCCAATGGTATCAATGTGGATTTCACAAGCTTCAAAATCTCCCCTCCCCCTACCGTATCCCAAAACCAGCCCAGCTTGTCCCCGCCTTCCTAACCTGTTCTTCCTCCCACCTATCCCCTCCTCCCACCTCAAGCCGCACCCCCATCTCCTACCTACTAACCTCATCCCGCCCCCTTGACCTGTCCGTCCTCCCTGGACTGACCTATCTCCTCCCTACCTCCCCACCTACACTCACCTTTACTGGCTCCATCCCCGCCTCTTTGACCTGTCTGTCTCCTCTCCACCTATCTTCTCCTCTATCCATCTTCTATCCGCCTCCCCCTCTCTCCCTATTTATTTCAGAACCCCCTTCCCCTCCCCCATTTCTGATGAAGGGTCTAGGCCCGAAATGTCAGCCTTCCTGCTCCTATGATGCTGCTTGGCCTGCTGTGTTCATCCAGCTCTACACCTTGTTGTCTCCATTAACATTGACCATTCTTGCTGCCCACTGAAGAGAGCAGATTAAAAACTCAGTCAAAGGGGGGATCCTGGTGGCTTGAGGACGGGACTGTTCTAACATCCTGCCCTCTTGGTTAAATTGCACCCAACGCCTTTCCCATCGTTTTCTGAGCCACGCTTTCTCAGCAGTGTTCTGCCTGTCTTTTTGCTGTTGTCAGAATGCGGTTCTGGAGGGTCGGGATCAGGTGAGGACAATGAATGTGAGCAGGAACGATGCCGGAAATATGGAGGAATGTGGGATGAGGACGCGGAAGACGACCGCTGTGTTTGTGAATTCCTCTGTCGCAATGTCCCTCGGAATCCTGTGAGTAACGACTGTCCTGGTTTTCGCCACTGCCACAGGCAGCTCAGCAAATTAAGATGAAGCTTTGTAATAGTGTCATGAAAAGTGATTCCTTTATCCCTGATCTCCTTTTTGAAAACAAAAGCGCTCTGATGATTGATGATAAGGCACCCTATTGTTCCTGCACTTATAAATTACAGAGGCTGCCACTCAGTCCTTCAGGCTACTTTGGTATAGAATTAAAGAGCCTTTAATTAGAAACTTGAATTTTAATATCTTCCAATATGATGAGCCTGCTGCTAAAACGTACCTTTCCCGAAGGGAAGAATTGCATTCCTGTACGATAAGCGTGACCAGTTTTGGGGTTTATCACTTGCGAATTTAAGAGCAGAACAAATTTTAAGCCCAGTTACTTGATGAATCAATCCATTTTTCTCAATCTCCGCTTCAGGAGAAATCTCTTTACCCTGAGAACAATGAGAATGTGCAATTATCCACACATGGAGTAGCTGAACTGAGCAATATCTTTAAGGGCAATCTAAACGATTATATAAGGGCCAAAGGAACAGAAGGGTGTGCTGATTAGGGTTAGACAAAGCAAGGTGCAAGAAGCTCCAACATCTTTACTGGCGTGGATCCAGATGGTGATAAGGGGGCTGTCTCTGTGCTACATATCAATGTAATAATTGAGTCCAGTGTCTCAGAATGGGCCTAGATTCTGTTTCATTCCTCCTTTGCGGTGGCCAGGGAGATTAATGGGAGGTGCCAACTGTGACATTACTGTTGTATACTGGAGCTCGCATTGATCTTTTTTCAATAACCATACCCGTCAATTTGAGGTCCATTTTGTTAAGACCTCTTTAAGTTATTACCCATAGCTTTCAAGTGCACCGGGTTAGATTTACAGCTTCTATAAATCAATGCCACTTCCATTCAATACCACTGTACTATTCTTTTTTGACACTCACCAGGGCAAGTGACTTTTGCAATGCATGCTTTGTCTGCTTCGCTCAGTGGCAACTGTTTCATCTCTGAATCAAAAGGATTCAGGCCCAATTCCTGCATTTGAATGCGTAAGCTAGACTGATACTTCAGTATCAGCTGACATTTACCACTGTAGCACTGATCTGCCAGAGATTCTATTTTCCGGTCGTAATGTTAAACTGGGGCCCCATCCGCCTGTTCAGGTGCACGTCGAAGATCCCAAGACACGAATAATTTTTACTTTCCATAAAATGACTGAACGTGGTGTGACCTTCAGTGCCTAAAATAGAGGCGAGAAGCCAAATGTAAATTCTTTTGGATCCAAACTGTTCTTGCCACAAGAGATTGCGTCTCGCAGTCACTGCGTTATTGAATTTATAACTTGCTCCCCTCGTCTCCATCGGAATTTCTACAGATATTCAAATTACTTTCTGGCCTCCTGCAGTGGGCTGGTGGGGGGAGGGGGGTGGTGAGGCTGGTGGTGGGAAGAGATCAAGCTGTGGCCTTGTGGAATTTTTAATCTGGAAAGCCTTGTTGGAGGTGTTGCCAATAGCCTGAAGCAAATGGAGAGAACATCTTTTAGAAAGAACTTACTCTTCAAAAAGGAGAGAAAAGCTTTTTTTAAAAGAAATTATGCTGTTAAGTTTGTGAATTGAACAAAGTTCCTTTTATTCCTGTCAGCGGTATTTCTGTTCAAGGCTTTGTCCTCCTTTAAAATCATGCTGGGGATGATACTTGAGACAGATGTTTCAACTTACCTAGTGCTATTTTTTAACAGGATTTCTGACTTTTTAACAGGGTTTAGTACTTTTCCTTTGAAAGTATTTGTCCTTTTTTCTACCTTTTGATGTGAGACTCCCTTCTCTTTGTCTGGCTAGGTCTGTGGGTCTGATGGGGTAACCTATGACAATGAGTGTGCACTGAGGATGGCGCGCTGTACCATGCAAAAGGACCTTCATGTCATCATGCCTAACGCCTGTGAGGGTGAGTGCCCCTTTCACCCATTTGTTGTAATCTAATGATCTGTCATACAGGCCTTGGGATTGATTTAGGACACTTGACCACGATCCTATGGCCCTTCAGCTGGGTGTTGCTCAGTCAACAGACAGTCCCACTGTCAGAACCGAAATCGGGGAGCTAGACCTGCTTTGGGTGATGCCAGGACCTGAGGTGGGGACATGTTGTACTTGGTAGCAGCTGCTGCTGGCGTAGCCATTTCAATTAAAGGGTGGTAGGCAGAATCCACCCTGCCACCTCCTGAAGCAGCACCCCCCACCCTGCTGCCACCTGTCCATCCAACGTGAGCAAAGTGCTCCTTTGAGGTGGGAAGGGGCTAAATTGTCCCATAATGTTGAGCGATGTCTAAGTTACGTGGATTAGCAAGGTAAATGCGGGGTTACGGGGATAGGGTGGCAGGGTAGATCTGGGTGTGATGCTGTTTGGAGGGTCAGTGCAGACTAGATAGATCGAATGGCCTCTTTCTGCATTGTAGGGATTCTAACTTTTCCTTTAAAATGGAGTGCAGCAACAGTGGGTAAGTAATTTAACTCACCAAAGATACCTAGAGATGTGTTTCTAATGTACTTCAGGGGTTAGATGCCGAGGCAAGCTCTTGATCTTTGGCCAGCTGTTGTGAAGGAGTGACAGTCTGTTTATTTTTCCACGCTGTGTGTGTGTCCTTCCTGCCAATATCAACAACTGTTTGGTCAAATGTTTGTTATATCGCCACCAGCAAATGTGCTTTTTCATGAATGTTCTTGCATGGATGTGACATCAGAATTAATCATCAATATTCAGGATCATCCTCTCATAAAATGGAAAGGCTTCAGTGCCCTCCGTGTCCATGGTATGATGTGCAATTGGAGACATTGGAACGCAAAATAATAAGAGGAAATAAATTAACATTTTTGTTTTACCTACTCCAGTCTTCCACACACTGAGATTACTGCACTCCTCTCACTCTGGCCTTATGCATATCTTCTGTTGTAGTCCCCTTGCCTTAGTGGCTGTGCATTTACCTAGTAAATTCGGAACATCCCTGTTTCCCCTCGCCCAGCCTCTCCACCTCTAAACCTCATTCTCCTCCTTTAAGAGTGTCCCTTAAAACCTGCCGCTATGACCACATTTTTGGCCACTTGGTCTCATATCTCATTGTGGGGTTTCATGTCCAGGTTTCTTTGTGAATTAGCTCTTGTGAAGTCCCTTGGGCTGCTGTTTATACCAAGTTAAAGGGCTATCTAAATGCAAAATTATTGCCGAATTGAAGAATCTTCGGTTGCGGTTTTCATCCAACTTCATCACACTAGGCAGAACTCCCTCAAAAATACCTTGCAGTGATGATAGGAGGACTTAATGCTAATTAACATGTCAGACAAAGAAAAGAAATATTAAAATTACTGAGTATTTAATGTCGTAATGTTAGGAGGTGCTAATGGTGAGACCAGTTTTAAACTAATGTGGGAAAGTTATCAAAATATCTGGTGAAACTATGGAGGTATAATTCAGGCTTGTGGTGAATCATAAACTGCATTGTTAGTATTCTGGCACTTGGGACACCTACCACCTATAAGCTGCACTGCAGCAACTCGGTAGGACTCTTTTGACAGCACCTTCCAAATCCACAATCTGTACTAGTGAGAAGGATAAGGGCAGAAGATGCATGGGAACACCATCATCTGCAAGTCCCACCCTATCCTGATGTGGAGGTATATTCTCATTCCTTCACCGTCACTGGGATGAAATCCTGGAATTCTCTCCCTGATGTAACCACATCCCGAAGACTGCAATAGTTCAAGAAGGCAGCTTGCTACCACCTCTCCATGGCAATTAGGGATGGACAATAAATGCTGGCCTAGCAAGTGATGCCCACATACCATTAACGAATAATAAAGGAACACCTTCAGCTCCTCAATGGAATTATGCTGTTTCAACTTGGCCACAACCTTCTCATATCCTCTCCAGCATCAATCTGTTTCCCATTCAGAAGAGTTCAGAATGCCTCTGAGGAGACTGAAGGAAGTGTTACCATTAGTGACACTGAATTTGTCATTCAGTCAGATAAAAAGTCAAAATCTATGATTAAATTTGTAAGGCTAATGAAGAAAAATGCTTTGACGAAGAAACAGAAGTTAACTGACCCAGCATAATCACTGCACTCTTGTGACATTATTATGGAATATGACTCAGATTGGTATGGAAACCCGATCCAGAAATGTCAGGCAGCATCACGACTTGTGTTAACACACAGAGTCCTGATCAGCGGTAGGATTGAAGATCCATGCCCTTACAGAAATGTTCTTTCAATCTGTTGTTAAGACTTTGAACCAAGATCAGAGAGAACTGTGGAACCAGAGCATTTCTTTTTTGTCTATCAATGTTTCTTAAATTTGCTTTCAAGCAGCCTGTAGAAGCTGATTTAGAATCTGATTCGACTGGAGGACCAGATGCAGTGTGGGCTGGAAATGACTGGGATCAGCTGTTTCCCTACTTAAATCGTTTGAAGTTCTGTGAAGTGCAATTTAATTGCATTAAAAGCACAGGACTAAACCAAAACTTGAATACAGCCAGCTTTGAGTATGGCTGGATAGGTTAATTAGAAAGGGAGCAGGGTTTTTATAAACCACTGGAATATCTTGTTGTCCCCATTTGCTACTAAGTCATGATTGTCTTTTTTCAGTGCAAAAACCAAAATTCAACTATGAGTTATTTTTGGATGGGTGTTTCCCTATCGTATACACCAATTCCACGCTGAAAGCTTCCATTTGTCTAGGAACTAAGCTGGGAGTCTGCAAACGGGCAACTGGCATAAAGGCCTTCTGACAAATTACAGGTCCCACCTTCTCAATATAAAGCCCTTGCTGACCAAGCACCTTTTATTTTCCCCTTTCCTGGTGACCTGCAGACCTCTGGATCCCTTCCACCATCTCTGCCTGAATTCTGGAAGGTTCCATTAAGGCAATCCTGAGATTTCATAGAATCCTTACACAGTGTAGAAACAGGCCCTTCAGCCCAACAAGTCCACACCAAGCCTCAACGCATCCCACCCTGACCCATTTCCCCCATAACCCACCTGATGTACACATCCCTGAACACTATGGGCAATTTTAGCCTGGCCAACCCACCTAGCCTGCATATCCTTTTCTGTGGGAGGAAACCAGAGCACCTGGAGGAGACACAGGGAGAATGTGCAAACTCCACACAGACAGTCGCCCAAGGGTGGAATCAAACCTGGGTCCCTGGCGCTGTGAGGCAGCAGTGCTAACCACTGAGCCACCGTGCCGCCCCTAGATCTGGAATGTGCTGCCTGTGTACGTGGTAGCAGCAGGTTCAATCAAGAGGAACTTGGTTTATTATCTTAAAGGAAGATTGTGCGGGATTGTATGGGAAGAGACGGGTGGGGGGATTCGAATGGCACTAATTCAGATGCTCATGTGGAGGGTTGGCACAGACACGAGGGGCTGAATGGCCTCTTTGCTGTGCCTTAATAATTCTGAGATAAAACCGTGCACTCTGCCCTCCCGATACCTTGACTGCAGCTTCAGCAGTTGACACTGTCAGCTGATCACTGGAAGCATCTTTTCACGCTACTGAAACCAGCTTAAAAATGTACCACAGGAACCTCTGCTTTCAAATTCCATGCACCTAATTCCAACCTGCTGCATCTTCCTGTATCCCAACTATAATAACTCTGTGTATACGATCTGGAAACACCCACCCAAAAATAACTCAGAGTTGAATTTTGGTTTTTCAAAGGGAATGGAGCACATAAGTAAGAAGAAACTATACAAGGGGATAGTCAGATCGTAGCTGAAATACTGGGAACAGTCTTCCGCCCCTTATCTAAGGGAAGATTTATTGAGATAAGGGGCAGTCCCGAGAATGTTCACTAGGCTGATACCAGGTATGGATGGAATGTCTCATGAGGAGGAGCTTGAGTAGACTGGGCGTGTACTCATTGGGATTCGGAAGAATGAGAGGCGACTGCAGTGAAACATACAAGATTGTTAGGGAACTGGACATGGTAGATGTGGAAAGGTTGTTTCCCCTTATGGGAGAGTGTAGGACTGGAGGGCAATGTATCCAAACAATCTCAGGTTGCACATACAAACCAGAGATGAGGAGGAATTTATTCTATCAGAGGGTTGTGCATCTGTGGAATTCTTTACTATAGATGGCTGTTGAAGCTGGGTCATTAAGTATACTAAAAACTGAGAGAGAGAGAGATATTTTTAATCAGTAAGGGAATCAAGGTTTATGGGGAAAAGGCCGGAAAGTGGAGTGGGGGATTATCAGATTAGCCATGACCTCATTGAATGATGGAGCCGGGCTGAATGGCCTACTTTTGCTGCAACATCTTAGAGTCCTGTTCTATAGCTGTACTGCTGAAGGGGCAGCAAGATCTTGGTGGCTAAAAAAACGTCTGGTGTTCATCCTATAAAACCCAAATGGCTACTTGATTTTCCAGCTGGTACATCTGTATTAGAATGTGTCAAAACATTATCTGTTTAACGTACTTCCCTCACTCTTTCTACAGTTGCAATTCCACCATCTGCCCCACAGCAACACTGCAGCAAATCTGTTTATGGCTGTTGTCTGGATAATGTAACTGCTGCCCAAGGAGTTGGCCTCGCAGGTTGTCCGAGTAAGTCAGGATTCTTGGAAATTTTGTTGTCCCAGAGTGCGGCGATTGGTTATCCAATAATTGGTGGCTCAACCAGACAAGAGTCAGTGGCAAAAAGTGACAAAAATCTACCATAAGATTTGAGCCACTGTTTTGTTACACTTATACTCTTATCAGGATGACTCCCATGGTCTCTGTTATAATTGCTTCAGTTCCTGATGAAGCATTGAGTATTTACAGGTGGTGCTTCTCAGGAAGAATATCCCACAGTTCACGTGGGCATTGGAGGTGTTATGGTGGCTCAGTGGTTAGCACTGCTGCCTCACAGCGCCAGGGACCCAGGTTTGATTCCACCCTCGGGCAGCTGTCTGTGTGGAGTTTGCACATTCTCCCCATGTCTGTGTGGGTTTTCTCCGGGTGCTCCGGTTTCCTCCTGCAGTCCAAAGATGTGCAGGTTCAGTGGATTGGCCATGCTATATTATCCATAGTGTTCAGGGATGTGTAAATTAGGTGGCTTATAGGGGAATGGGCCTGGGTGGGATACTCCAAGGGTCAGTGTGGACTTGTTGGGCCAAAGGGCCTGTTTCCACACTGTAGGGATTCTATGATTTTATTGTGTACCCAACTATGGATGGACTGTCAGGCATAGCACCTGAACTAGTTAACCACAAGGTAGACCACAACCAGGGCATTGCGTGCATTAAATTGGGGCCACATAGACCTCCATCTCCTCTACCAACTCTACCAGTAAGATAAGAGGCAAAATACTACGGATACTGGGAATCTGACATAAGGGCAGAAAGTGCTTGAGAAACTTGAATGGTTCAAGAAGGCAGCCCACTACCACCTTCTCCTGGGCAATTAGGGATGGGCAGCAAATACTGGTCCAGTCAGCAATGCCCACCTCCCACGAATGAATATTTTAAAAATATAGAATAAACGCAGAACTACAAATGTCGCAATTATCAGAAACAAAAACAGAAATTGCTGGAGAAACTCGGCAGGTCTGGCAGCATCTGTGGAGAAAGAAAACAGAGTTAACATTTCGGGCCCAGTGTTTGGTTGCTTTCCCTTCAGAGATGCTTCCAGATCCTCAGAGTTTGCCCAGCAATTTCTGTTTTTGCTTCTACTAAATAAAACAGGTCTGGCAGCATCTCTCGAGGGATGAACAGAGTTAATGTTTTGACACCAATTACAGTCTGCTTCAGTTCTGAAGAAGAAATGTATTGGACTCGAAACGTTAACTCTGTTTCTGTCTCCACTGAAGCTGCCAAACCTGGTGAGACTTTATAGTGCATTCTGTAGCTTTATTTATTTGAGTATTACAAAAGATGTGCTTCTGTGCTGAGGGATCTCCCTCATCAAGAGGATATTCATTCCCAGAGGGACTGCAATGTTGGTGCATAATTTTATGTCAGGGATGCTGGCGACACTAGTATTGAACTATGACGAGCTTGTGATTTTGGGAATTGTGGCACCTGAGTACCAGCCCAGGTTGGCACCATCCTGTGGCAGGATGGTGCCAATGGGTGGGCTCCTATGGTTACCCAGCTCACCAGCTGGGGCAGAGCTGACACTCAATTTTCCAAGTGAGAGGCAGTTCAAGATGGATGCCCCCTCTCTCTCAACTCTTTAAGATTGAAAAAGAAGAACTGATGGAACAACCTTGGCACCATTGTATGGTGGGGGAGATCCCTGCTGTGCTCAGACTGGTGAGAAGGGAGGATAGATTTCAATGCCCACCTGGGGTCCTGTTCCACCCTCTAGGCGATGTGCCACCAGCTGGTGTGTACCTCTGCCAGCCTGCAGGGCAATTGGAAAATTCTAGTCAGCCTCTGACATGAGGTCTTAATGGGCCATTGACTGTTGAAAAAGTAGCTGCCCACTGCTTGCGGGCAGTCCTCATCTTACCCCTTTGGGAGTGTGGCCTGGGTGGGTGGGTGGGGGGGGATGAGAAATGGCAAGGCAGCCTCAGGTTATGTTGCCACCTTCCCATGTGCTTGCTCCCCCCCCACCCCAATCCTCCCCAATCTCTTTATGTAACGTGCGTCGGTTCTTCTTTGTAGGATTCAGTACGTTTTCTATGCATTTGTTATTTTTATGTCCTCATTTTGAAAGTCTATTCTGAAATAAATCGAGTCGCTGTATTGTCAACATGAAGACAAATGGGCAATGTGATTTAGAGTCAGAGATGTACAGCATGGAAGCAGACCCTTTGGTCCAACTCGCCCATGCAGACCAGATATCTTAAATTAATCTAGTCCCATTTGCCAGCATTTGGCCCATATCCCTGTAAAACCTTCCTATTCGTGTACCCATCCATACGCCTTTTGAAGGTTGTAATTGGTGTGATCTTTTACAGGCACCTGTCGGTGTAATAAGTATGGGTCTTACAGTGGAACATGTAGCCCCAGCACTGGTCAGTGTTCCTGCAAGCCCGGAGTGGGTGGTCTCAAGTGTGACCGTTGTGAACCAGGCTTCTGGAATTTCCGTGGTATCGTCATAGACGAGAAAAGCGGATGTACTCGTAAGTGAATGTCACGGATGCTTTGATTATGTTGAATGTAAAGATAATGCAGTTTATTCTTTACCCTTTTCCTTTCCCATTCAAGTGGACTAATGAGCTTCCCACGTGACACAATAGTGTGTGGCAGGCACTCCTCAAGAAAGGCCCAAACCTGTGCTGTGTGTAGCTCATTGTGTTTAATCCTGGTGGTGTGTTGGCACAGGCACGTGAAATTCTCCTTGTGGCCTGGACAGCAAGTGTGAGATTATGGATAGCAAGTGAGGAAAGGTTAGCCTGTTGCATTCACTTCAATGATCTCAAATGCTCACCATCTGATCTTGAGCAGTGAGTTCTTTCTTGTTTGGAATCTGTATCTAAATCTGTTTCATGTTGGGCTTTTAGAGAGGGAGGGAGAAAGGGAGAATGTGTGTGTGTGGGTGGAAGTCCGTGCGTGTGTGGGTGCATGTCTGTGTGCATGTGTGCGCGCGTGTGTGTGTGTGCGCGTGTGTGTGTGCACGTGTGTGTCCATGTGTGGGTGCATGTGTACGCGTGCGTGTGTGAGCATGTGTCTGTGCGTGTGTGGGTGCATGTGTGCGCGTGTGTGTGGGTGCATGTGTGTGTCTGTGTGGGTGCATGTGTGTGTCCATGTGTGGGTGCATGTGTGCGCGTGTGTCAGTGCATGTGTGTGCGTGTGTGGGTGCATGTGTGTGTGCATGTGTGGGTGCATGTGTGTGTCCGTGT